CCTTAACTGTACCCCCACAATATCATAATAAAAGTATTGATTATAAAAATAAAATAAATAAAATAAAACTCAATTTGTACTTTGAAAAATTAAAATGATGGACCTCTAGCCAGATTGACTAAGAAAGAGACATAAAGCCCAAATAAACACAAGCAAGTCTTGAAAAGATCAAGTCACAGCTGACCCGAAAAAAACGCAAAAGATGATCAGAGATTACTATGCACATGTGTCTGGAAACAAACTTGAAAATCTAAATAAAGTGGAGGACTTTTCCATATCACACAATGTCCCAAGTTTGAAACAAGGAGAAATCGAGGCCCTGAATAGATCAATAACAACCCAGATTCTTGACTCTGTCCAAAGAAAACTACCAAAACAAAACAAAACAAAAAATCCCTGGACAAGAAGAAGCTGATACCAATCCTACTGAAAGTATTCTAGCTGGGCTTAGGAGCTCACACCTGTTATTCCAGTACTTTGGGAGGTGGTAGTGAGAGGATTGCCTGAGCCCATGGTTGGAGACCAACCTGGGCAACTTGGTGAGATCTTGTCTCTAAAAGAAATAAAAATTATCCGGGTACAGTGGCATGCCCCTGTAGTTCCAGTTACTTGGAAGGCTGAAGTGAAATGATTGCCGAGTCCAGCAGGTCAAGGTTGCACTGGCCGTGAGTGTGCTATTGCACTCCAGCCTGAGCAATGGAGTGAGACTCAGACTCAAAAAAGAAAGAAAGAAAGAAAAAAGAAAGAAAGAAAGAAATGATTCCAGACAATTTAAAAAAGATAGAACTCTCCCCAAATCATTTTATGAAACTAACATCACACTTATACCCAATATACCCAAAGTGGGTAACAATTCAACAAGGAAGGAGAACTACAGGCTAATTTCCTGATGAACATAGATGCAAAAGTTTTCAAAAAGATTCTGGCAAATCGGATGCAACAATATATCTCAAAAATCATCCACTATGACTAAATAGGCTTCATCACCAGAATGCAGAAGTGGTTCAACATTCACAAGACCATAAATGTAATTAAATACATCAACAGATATAAAAACAAGAGCAACATGATTATATCCTTTCTTGATAAAAACCCTCAAACACCTAGGCATAGAGGAACATACCACAAAATAGTAACAGGGATCTATGATAAACCCACAGGCAATATATTGCTAAACAGACAGAAATTGGAAGCGTTTCACCTGAAAACCGGAACAAGACAAGGCTGCCCACTCTCACCCTCCTGTTCAACATAGTGTTGGAAGTCCTACCTAGAGCAATAAGAGAAGAGAAGGAAATCGGGGTGTCCAAATAGGAAAAAAAAAAAGTCACGTTATCCCTCTTTGCTGACAATATGATCCTATACCTAGAAAATCCAAGAGAATTTGCCAAAAACCTCCTTGCACTGATAAAGGACTTTGGCAAAGTCTCAGGGTACAAAATAAATGTGCAAAAGACAGTCACATTCTTATATGCCAACAATAAACAGGAAGATAGCCAAATAAAAAGCACAATCCCATTCACAATAGTCATAAAAACAAAGAAAGAAAGAAATACCTTGGCATCTTCCTAACCAGAGACATGAAAGATCTTTACAGTGAAAACTATAAAACACTGCTCAAAGACGTCAAAGATGACACAAATGAATGGAAAAATATTTCATGCTCATGGATTGTAAGAATCAACATTGTTAAAATGTCCATCCTACCAAAGGCAATCTACATATTCAATGTGATACTCTGACTTGGAAACAACAGCACAGAAATTCATATGGAAACATAAACAACAATGGATAGTCAAAACAATCCTTAGTAAAAGAAACAAGGTGGGAGGTATCACATATCCAGACTTTCAACTTTATTATAATCAAATAATCAAAACAATCTGGTATATAGAACAGGCATATAGATCAATGGAACTGGATAGAGATCCTAGAAGGAAAAACCTCAATTTTTCAACCAACACATTGTCAACAAAGCCTCCAAAAACAACCACTGGGGATAGGAGAACCTGTTCAGTAAACGGTGCTGGGAAAACTGACTGATCACATACAGAAGTAGGAAACGAGTCCCCATTTATATCACACACAAAAATCAACTCCAAATGAATCAAAGACCTAAATAGGAAACTCCAAACTTTAAGAATTTTAGAAAATGCAGATACATCCTTATGGAAATCAGAATAGGGAACCAATTCCTGATCAAAACCCCAAAAGTCTATGCCATAAGAGATAAGATAGACAAGTGAGACCTCATCAAACTGAAAATCTTCTGCAAGGCACAAAAAAAAAAATCAAGAGAATGGGGATACAGCCCACAGAATGGAAAAAAAAAATTGCCAACTACATATCTGACAGAGGCCTAACATCCAGGATCTACAAAGAACTCAACAGTGACAAAAGGAAAAAAACAAACAGCTCCATGAAAAAGTGGGCAAAAGACATGAATAGACACTTCTCAAAAGAAGACAGACAAGCAATCAATAGACACATGCAAAAATGCTCAGCCTCACTAATCATTAGAGAAATGCAATCAAAACCACCCCGAGATACCACCTAATTCCAGTAAAAATAGCTATCATTAATAAAACAAAAATTAACAGATGCTGGTGAGGATGTGGAGAAAAGAACGCTTCTAAACTGCTGGTGGGAATGCAAATTAGTTCAACCTCTATGGAAAACAGTGTGGTAATTCCAAAAATGTCTAGAAATTTACCTTCCATATGATCCAGCAATCCTCCTTCTGGGAATATACCTAGACGAACTTAAATCACTCAACAAAAAAGACACCTGTACATGCATGTTTATTGCAGCACTATTTACAATAGCAGAAACATGGAACCAACTGTGAAGTCCATCAAAACGGGACTGAATTTAAAAAACGTGGTACATATACACAATGGAATATTATGCAGCTATAAAGAAGAAAAATTATGGACCTCGCAGCAACTTGGATGGATTTAGAGTCTATAATACTCAGTGATTTATTACAGAAACAAAGAATTGAGTACGATATGTTCTCACTCATAAGCAAACCCTGAACATTTACCATAATACTATAAGAAAGGGATTGGCAGTAGCCAGAAACTGCCAGGGAAACGAGGGGGCAGCCCATAACATTATTAAGGGTACCAGATCTAAAACCAGGGAAAGCGGGGACAAAAGGGAGACCCAAACTTTACCTGTACAATGACCACTTGTATACCTGATCCTGAATTGTATCCCACATCTTTAAAATAAATTCTTCAAAAAGTGGGCAAGAGATATATGTATAGACACTTCTCAAAAGAAGACATACAAGCAGCCAACAGATACATGAAAAATTACTCAGCTTCACTAATCACCAAAGAAATGCAAATCAAAACTACACTGAGGTACCACATAACTCCAGACAGGATGACCATCATTGAGAACTCACCTGTTCCCACCCCCCCCAAAAAAAACCAGAAACTGGAGAGAATGTAGAGAGAAGGGAATGTTTCTACACAGTTGGTGGGAGTGTAAACTAATACAACCTCTGTGGAAAACAGTGTGACGAATTATTATTATTATTATTTTTGAGTTGGAGTCTCACTCTGTCGCCCAGGCTGGAGTGCAGTAGCACGTTCACAGCCACCCCAGCGTCAACCTGCTGGGCTCCATTGATCTTCCACCTCAGCCTTCCAAGTAGCTGGAACTATAGGTGCGCGCTACTACACCTGGCTAATGTTTGATTTATTGTAGAGATGATGTTTTGCCAAGTTTCCCAGGCTGGACTCGAATCCGTGGGTTCAGGCAATCCTCTCTCCTCCCAAAGTGCTGGGATTACAGGCTAAGCTACCAGGCCGGCTACTATTTCTAAAAGATCTCAAAATCAACCTTCCGTATGACCCGGCAATCCACATTCTGGGACTATACCTGGAGGAACTCAAATCATTATACAAAAAAGATACCTGCACACATGTTTATTGTAGTACTATTCACAATATCAAAAACACAGAACAAACCTTGCTGCCCACTGAAAGTGAACTGGATGCATATATACAATGGAATATTACACAAGCATAAAGGAGGACACAATTGTGGACTTTGCAGCAACTTGGATGGATTTAGTCTATCATACTCAGTGATCTATCATCGAAACAAAGAACTGTTCCACATGTTCTTGCTCATAAGTGAATCCTGAACATTTATCATAATACCGCATGAAAGAGATTGGCAGTAGCAGGCCACTACAAGGGGATGAGGAGCAGGTAACATTAATTAGGGTACCTGTACCAAACCAGGTGAAGTGAGGACTAATGGGTGGCTCAAAGTTCACCTGTACAATGGCCATTTATGTACCTAAACCTGAATTGTACCCCTCATATTTAAAATGTAAAAACTTCAAAAAAGGAAAAAAGTAAAATGATGGAAAATAGGGAAAATTTTTGTGCATGGTATTTTCTATTTCTCTTATGCTATAATCAATTTTTTTATTGTTGAACCTCTAAAAGTATATATAGAGTATGCAAATATCTTTATAAAAAATACAGTCTTGCTATTCATTTTACATGATAAAATTAAATTGATAATCTCAAGTACATAGAAAAGTCAAAGAACTGATCTCATTGCCCTTTGACACACATTTAAGCTTATTCATAACTAGCAGCAGAGAATTACAGGTTCACAGAAGACTAGAAGGTAAGAACACTTCAGAGTCACTCCATCTGACAGCCCCATTCACCACGAAAGTCACTGAGACAACAAGAAGAAAGCACTCACCAAGGTCACATCATAGATAGGGACAGAGCAAAGACTGAAGTCTACCTATCCAGCTCTCAGTCCTTCCTTCCCCCCATGGTGAGGCACCCTTCCAGCTTGCGCGGAATACCTCTACAGTGGATGGTGAGATCACCCCATCCTGAACTGGACGATGAGGTTCTGAGGTCAGGTTTGGGTGGTATATGTGACCCCACTCACTGAAGACCATCCCAGCACCTTCCACAGTCTCCGTAGGGTCCCAGACTGCTATCCAGACTCACCACTTTCAGCCACGTCTGCATGCCTGTGCTGGATATGGTCCCGGAGAGAGGTGACATTGACAAACTCCGTGTCACACAGGTCACACTACACAGAAGGGGAGCAATGGGGAGTGAAGGATTAGATCACCTAGGTCAGTCTGTATTTTCCCATTATAAAAACTCACATTTCTTTAGGACTCCTAGGCTGCTTCAGAAGTGAAGAGTTAGCTGTACTGAGTAAGGCAGTGACATCAACCCAAGCTGCCCATTAGAACCACCTGGGGACTTTAAAATATTACCAGGGCCCTGGGAAACTGTGAAGACTGACTGGATATTTGATGATAGTAGAAATTTCTGTTGATTCTTCAGAATGTGACGATGGTGTTCATGTTAGAGTCCTTACCTTTTAGAGATACACACTGAACTATTTCAAATAACATTATATTATGACTAATATGCTTCAAAGTAATCCAGGAGTAAGGGAAAGTGGGTAGGGAAACAGATGCAACATTCTTCATGGGGTGATGACTGTGGAGCTGCATAGTGTGTAGATGAAGGTTCATACTATTATTTTCTTCTTTTGTATATGTTTGAAAGTTTCCATAATAAACTTTTAAAAAAAATATGCTAATGTGTAAGTCTCACCCCAGGGTTGAGAACCACAAGAGGAGGAGATTAGCAAATAGATTACTTCTGCAAGTCCGCATCCCTCTCCTAAAGATTTTCAGACACAATCAATCAGTCATGCTTTTTCATTGTGATCTTCAGAAGTCTTCTCAACACAGCTCCGGGGACTGTCATTGGTAGTAAATCAGAGTTACAGTGCAGATTATTTGCTATCGTTACACATGGGCAAATGGGACAGAAATTGCCAATTGTCCTCTATACCCATTTTCCGTTTCTTAGTAATATGAATTGTGATCCGGGGACCAATGAGAATCACATCCCAGTGATGTGTTTACATCCCAGTCTCCTTTGAAAATAGGTGTAGCTAGCCAGACTCAGTGGCTCAGCCTATAATCCCACACCTTGGGAGGCTGAGGTGAGTGGATTGCCTGAGCCCGTGGGTTCAAGACCCGCCTGGGCAACTTGGTGAGACCTCATCTCTACAATAAATCAAAAAATTAGCCGGGTGTGGTAGTGTGAGCCTGTAGTTCCAGCTACTTGGAAGGCCGGGCGTGGTAGCGTGAGCCTGTAGTTCCAGCTACTTGGAAGGCTGAGGCAGAAGGATCGCCAGAGCCCAGCAGGTGAAGGCTACGGTGGCCGGGAGCGGCCACTGCACTCCAGTCTGGGCGACAGAGTGAGACTCCAACTCAAAAAAGAAAAAAAGAAAGAAAAAGAAAAAGAAAATAGGTGTAGCCATATGACTCACTACTACAAAGCTTCTTACCCTTTTATTCATAAACAACATACCATTTGCATCAATTATCATTTTATCAATCAACACTATATCATCACGATTCCTTCTGACCCATGGTGATATAATAAGAATATATATTTGATTTTTGTTTCTAGTTCCTGGCAAAAAACTCTGAAAATACTTATAATTTCCTGACTGATAGGGGTGAGAGGAGCACCTTTTTAATAATAGGTGGTCTTAGACCCCAGTTCATGACACAAGAGTTTCTGAGATCCTGGGAATCTCCAAAGGGACAAGAGTGCCAGCTATAGTTTTAACGTTTGTCCCCTCCAAATCTCATGTTGAAAATTAATCCTCAGTGTGGCTGTGTTAGAAGGAGGACCTTTGGGAGATTTTGAGTTGTGGGGGCATATCTCTCAGGAAGAGAGAATTGCTCTGTCTTAGGGGTGAATAAATTCTCCTTCTTATTTGTTCCTGAGAGAACGTGTTCTTAAAAGGGGCCTGGCACCTCACTGCTCTCTCTTTCTCTCTGGTCTCTTCTCCTGCCATGTGACCTCCACACGTCAGCTCCCCTTTGCCTTCCTCCATGAGTGGAAGCTGCCTGAGTTCCACACCATATGTCCACTCTTGATTTTCCCAGTCACCAGAACTCTGAGTTAAATAAACATCTTTTCTTTATCAATAACCCAGTACCAGTTATCCCTTTTAGAGGGACACAACATGGACTAAGATGGTGTCTTTTGCATGCTAATAAGATTACTGGTGCCTGGCAGCCCCCAGACCACTTCAGGATGGAGGTTGGTCACCAGAAAGGCCAAAGTATAATTGGAGAATTGGAATTTTCAGTCATAACTTCCATTGTTTAGGGAAGAGAAATAGATTGGATATTTACTTAATAATCAATAACCAATCATTTATTCAGCCATGCCAGCATGGTAGAGCCTCTGTGAAACCCTAAGTGATGGAATTTAGAGAACTTCCACATTGGTGACACACTGAGGTGCGAGAAGGGTAGCGCACTCAGGAAGCATATGGACACTCTGAGTTCTTTATGCCATACCTTTTTCCCTCTGAACCTCTTCCATCTGACTATTAGGAGTTTTGTTCTTTATTGAAAGTGTCTTCTTTCTGATTTCTGGGATCCATTCTAACAATGTTTTCAACATAAGGATGAAGATGTGGAAACTCAATTTATAGCCCATCAGTCAGAAGTACAGGAAGCCTGGACTTTCAAGCATAAGAAGCCCAGTCATTTGAAATGTGGCTAGTCCAGTGGTACTGAACCCTCAACTTGTGGGATCTGACACTAACTACTACTAACATGTAGAAAGTTTCAGAATTGAAGTGCATTGAGGAAAACAGTTGATGTTGGAGAATGGTTTGAGGGGAAAAACATTTGGTGTCAGAGTGTAACTAGAAATAGGTTACCCACCCATCCACAAACTGCAAATTTTCTGAAAACCTGGACCAGTATACATATTCCTACATCCTCAAACCCTGACAAAGGGTCTAGCCATCTTGCAACTTATTAAAAGTCAAATGTCCCCAATTTACACTGTCCATGGAAATAAATTGAAATGTTCCAATGCTACTCTGGATAATGACCCGGGACTTGGTTGAATCATGGAATCATTATTCCAAAATGGGTCTGGTTCTACCAGTCTCTTGTTGCACATGAATTGTACACACCACACACCACACACTTGTCACATATACCTTCACACTCATTACATATACACACAAACCCTCTATACACACACATACACACACACAAATGTAGTAGAGCCTCCTGACACCCTCAGTCACTTCAGTCATGAGCAGTATCTTTAAAACTGGCTCTTAACCAGTGAGAATGGCCACAACGGTCTCATGACCCAGGGCAGTGCTGACCCAGTGGCCTAAAGCACACAGCTCTCCCACTCTCCCTGCCCGGTGCAGATTCCTCACCTGGTGACAGCTTTGGGTTTCTCTCTGCATTAGCAGCTGCTGCAGAGTGTTAATCATCTTTCCACGCTGGTGGCTCTTCACTTGCACCTTCTTTAGCTTGTCACGCTGGCAGTCCATCCTCTCTTGGGTACGCTGCTGCTGGTCCCAGCTGGCCTGCAGCTGCCCCTCCAGCTGGACAACCTTGGTGCTCAGGCAATCCTGACAATGCCCCAGGTACTCAATGGTGAGCTGTGCCAGGCGCAGCACCTTGAGCAGCGCTGGGTCCACTGCCTGCCCACACTGGCGGCACACCTCCTGCTCCAGGTTGCAGAAGGTGATGCCAGTGACGTGTGCCTGGAGAGTGGCCACATCCAGCTCCCGAGCAACACGGTCCACGTCCAGGGTGCTAATTCTCCGCCAGTTGATGGTCTCATGACGAGGTTGGAACTGGAAGGAATGGACTTTGTAGGACCAAATCAAGGGGTCTTTGAAGCCCCCAAGTGTGGCAGCTGGGGACTGCATAGCTGAGGAAGCCTTCCGCTGACCAGCAGGGGAGGAAACCACTCAGTCCACAGCAGCGGGCCAAGGAGCTAGAGCAGGCCTGGAAAATGAGAAGAGTCTGAGTTAGAGAAGTCATGTGTAGCAGCACATACTGCACACCTGGCCAGCAAGAGTCTAAGTGGGGCAAGGTGAGGTGTCTGCACAGCAGCTGAGGTATGCAGAGTATGTGCTGACATGACCAGAGCTTTGTATTCACACAGATGTGGACTAGAGGTCTCTGCCTTGGCAGGTCCCTGCACACCTCTAAGCCTCTTGTGCATATGGGGGTCCTGGGGCCCACTTAGCAGTGTGTGGTGAGTGTGCCAGGTGAAGCACTCAGCCTAGTGGCTGGCACATAGCAGGTCTTCAGTGAATCACCCACCCCCTCCTCCACTCCAGGAGTGCCTGGAATAGGTCTTTGTCATTGGTGACTGTCACTGTTAAGAGTGGGCATAGATTATGGTGTTTGAGTGGAAATGGTCAGAAAGATGATAGAAATGTTGGAAGACAGATACACAGATATCAACATACATACAGACATACATACACACAGGCATACTTACATAGATAAGATGTAGTATTTGCACACAACCCATGCACAATCTCCCATTCTTTAAATCATCTTTAGATGACTTGTAATACCTAATACAATTTTAAATACTATGTAAATGGTTTTTATACTTTATTGCTTAGGAAATAATGACAAAAAGTAGTCTGTACATCTTCAGTACAGAAGAAACCATCCGGCTTTTTTTCAATTTTTTTTTTTTGGGTTGGAGTCTCACTCTGTCACCCAGATTGGAGTGTAGTGGCCGCTCCCAGCCACCGCAGCCTCGACCTGCTGGGCTCTGGCGATCCTTACGCCTCAGCCTTCCAAGTAGCCGGAACTACAGGCGCGCGCTACCACGCCCGGCTGATTTTTCTTTTGATTTATTGTAGAGATGAGGTCTCGCTGCCCAGGCGGGTCTCGAACCCGTGGGCTCAGGCAATCCACTCACCTCAGGCAATCCACTCACCCAAAGGCGTGGGATTACAGGTTGAGCTACCGAGCCTGGCTTTTCAATTTTTTAAAATCTACATTTTGTTGAATCCAGTGATATACAACACACAAATACGGAGGGCAGATTATATATCCATATATCTCTCTCTATAAATCTATATATATGAATGATTTGCATTTTTCATAGTTTGTTTATGGTAAAAATATAATCAACTATGATTCATATATGGAATTCATTTTTATATTATTTCTAATCATTGACTATTTCTGGAAAGATAGACAAGAAGCTGTTAGCAACGGCTACCTCTGGGACATGGGAATGGAGCTAGATCAATTTGATTTTTTACTGTTGACCTCTCTATACTATTGAAAGTTTGTCCTATCACCACCTATGATGTTTGTTATTTTTTAAAAGAAATAAACACCATTTCAGCTGTCGAGGAACTGAGAATCTAAGGCAATAAAAGGTACATATTACCCCAATGAATCAAGTTCTTTCTGGATTATATGATTCAGACTTTCAAGTGCAACACAAAGTCAGAGAAGAAATGTCATGAACTGAATGAAGGAGAAAGGACTTGAGGAAATCGCAGAGCTGGGTTGGTCAAGAGGGGAAGGGCCTCCAGGAAAGGGCCCAGGCACCACTGAGCCTCTGAATGGTGGTGACAGGTCAGCCCTGACAACCTCAAAGCATGCTGTGAGACTTGGAGGAGATACAGGGGGAAGGCACTCAGCAAGAAAACTAGCAACCTTGCCTGAATACCAGCTTCTCTGCTTGACATTAACTCTCAACACAACCCAAGGAAGAGGTATTATTATTGTTATTCACATTCCACAATCAAGGAAGCTAGTGACTGCAGAGGTTAAGTGGCTTGCCCGGTTGAAAGATAGTAGGATTTACATGTCTCCCAAAGTTTGTGAGTTAGAACCTTAATTTCAAATGCAGCAATGGTGAGAGGTAGAACACTGAGAGGCCATCAAGTTGTGAAGGCTCTGACCTCATGAATGGATTAATATCATGATCCTAGGAGTTGGTTAGTTATTGTGCAAGTGGGTTTTGCTAGAAAGATGAGTTCAGCCCTCTGCCCCTCTCTCTTATGCTGTTGCCCTTCCACTTTCTACAGCAAGAAGACCACTGCTAGAAAACAGACTACTATACCCTCTCGAACTCTGAGAAGTGCATTTTCCTTTGTTACAAAATTTCAGTCTGTAGTGTTCGGTACAGCAACACAAAGTGGATGAAAACAGGGGACCAGACTTGAAGTGTAATTGCAGGTTCATCTGGTCCCAGTACCGAATCTCTCCCCATGATTTCTGGAGCCATTCCATTTAAAACGTTGCTTTATTTAGCTTATCATTCTTTCTCCCTCGAACCTCCAATTCACTCTTTAACTCACCTCCACCTCACATGTGGTATGCCTACTTGGGCCAAGCTGAGTGTGAGGTCCTGGGGATACAGAGCTATGTGAAGCACACTGCTTCTCCCCACTTTGAGATCAGCTTGGCGCCCTTGGTCACACTTGGTTTGTACCAAGTGCAAACCTCTTAGCTTGGTCTTGTGGCAGCATACACGATGCCACTCGCCCACCTTTCCAGTTTCAGCTCCATCCTTTCCTTTCTCAGGTACCCTTCCCCAGCAAGTACTCCAAAAACAAAGCCATCCAGACTTAAGTGCCCCTGCCATTGCCTCTACAAGACCAGCACATTTCTGCCTAACATGCTAGGGTATCAAAAACAAGCAAACAAAAAGGAGTTGGGTGACATTCACCATGCTAATCTCTAGTGACAACTTTGCCACCAGAGGCTCAGAGACTATTGCTCACAACAGGCTGAGCCTCAGCACAGCAGCAGGTTATCAGGCCTGCTGTGGCAAGCCTCACAGGACACTTGCTTCCTGTTGTCCCACCAATGGTGAGCTCACTGAGAACTTACTGTTTCAAGTTTTAAGCTTCAGCCTCAGATGTTTGTTAACAGTATCCTCTTGAGTGCTAATAAGTTCATAACTCCTCACAGGCAACTTTCTCTCTCAGCTCTCTTCCTCCTTCTGTGAACACTCTTCCTTGAAATTGCAAATCTTTCAACCTTCCTTCATGGTAGGGTAAACCAATGCCCCCTTGACATTCTGTTGTCTGCCCATGACCCATTTCTCCCTGCACATTATCCCTGGAAATGAGTTCACACACCTACAGCTTTAGGTACCACAGACCTGCTCTAGTCTGAGACTCAGCCATTCACAGACCTTTCTCTGTGACCCCTCTGCCTCTTCTGCTCTTTACACCCAGTCCTTCTAGGCTGATTATGCCATAAATTGCAAACCCAAGATCCACCAGGGCAAGGTATTACGTGCATGTAATATGCCAGCATGAAAGAAACCACAGCTCATGCTTGATGATAAGTGGCTATTAATTACCCTTCTTAGTGTCTAAGATACAAGGGGGAACTCCAACAAAACAAAATTATTCATAAAAAATTCTGTATTTATTCTCAGATGTTTTAACTTCAATTGCCTTTAAAATACTCTTCATTTGATGTGATACTCCTATCAAGACACTTTTTCCACTGCTCAAAACAAAAGACACTTTCTTAGTGTCTAAGATACAAGGGGAAACTCCAACAAAACAAAATTTATTCTTAAAAAATTCTGTATTTATTCTCAGATGCTTTAACTTCAATTGCCTCTAAAGTACTCTTCATTTGATGTGATACTCCTATCAAGACACTTTTTCCACTGCTCAAAGCAGTTTTTCAACTTAACAATTCTGATGCCTTTTATTGCTTCTGCCATTTTTTTTCCACTTCTTCCACCTTAGCAAAACATTTCCCTTTGAGGGATATTTTCATTCAGGGAAACAAACCCCCCAAAAGTTGCTTCAGGTAAGATCCACTGAATGGGAGGGTGAGGGGTGGGGGCCATGTTGTTTTTAGTAAAACAAAACAAAAGAAAACAAAACTGAACACTCAGTGTGGCATGGGCAGGTGTGCTGTCATGGTGGAAGAACCCACCACCTGTTTACAACAACTCAGGACATTTCTTCCACAAATCATTAACATAGTTTTCTCAAAACTTTCAGATAAAAACTTTGGTTCTACTACAAAGCACTTGCCCTCCCAAAGATATTTCCTTTTTGGGGGGATCCCCTAAAAAAAAAAACCTCATCCAATATGGCAGTGGTACTCAAAGTGTGGCCCCTAGAACAGCAGCCTCAGCAACACTTGGACACTTGTTAGAAATGCAGATGTGTTGGTTCAGAACCACTGCAGTGGAGTGTGTTGAGTCAGGGAGCATTAGGGATGGTGGCATACAGGGGAGTGCAGACCCTGTTTAAATGAGAAGCCACCACTGAGCTTCAGTCAGAGGGGAAGGAATTTTTTGTGTTCCCCCTTGACAAACTCCAGATTCATTCAGAATGTCATTCAGAAACCTCTGTAAACTGTTTCCAAACCTATCTGTCCAGTTGCGTGTCCCATTGACCATATGACTTGCCTTCCACAGTGTCATACTTCTGGGCTGTTTTCTTAAAACAGGCTGCATCTTTATGTGCTTTAAATAGAATCACTCATGTCTTTCTCAGTACAACTGCATGAGGAGGTACTGTTCTCATCTCAGCCACAGAGAAGGAAATCAGCTTGCCCAAGGTCTAGAAAAAGATTTACACCCAGGCAGTCTGGCTATAATCTGGGCTCTCAGTCAGTTTTCTCTGCTGCCTGTTGGTGGGGATAGCCCTTTGCCACCTTCTCCTGCTCCTACTAAAGGTCAAGGCATGCTTCAAGCCCTGCTCATAAATGATGGCTACCATCAATCCATTCTAGGCCAAGTACACTGCCCCTCCCCTCAGCTCCCTGGGGGAAAGAATCACATTGGTCTATTGCGGGGTAGCTGTTCAACACTCATTCATCTATCCTATCAAAAATGATTTTTCAGCCTCTACTAGGAGCTTGGCATTATGACCTGCATTCAGGATCAATAGTGACCCAGGCCAGG